TCTTATAACTGACGTTTTACTGTTGTTAACAATGGCAAGCAGGGTGACACTCATAATCCACCCTGAGGAGTGGAGAGGGTTTTTTGCAATATCTGGAAGTTAGCTTTTCACCAAGTCGAACACATCTTCAGAAAATGTACCAAGAACAGTGGGAGTCCTCCCCTAAGTACCCAATAACGCAGAGTGGCGAAGGATGTCGTTTCTATGGCGTCGTAGGTTTTTCCACATGATAACGTAGACTTTTTTGATATCGAAAAAGATTGCAACAATGTGTTGTTGTAGCCCGAAAGATGTGGAGATCTGCTTTGCTAGTGGTCCATGGTTGATCTGTCTGTTCTGAAACCAGATAGGATAGATTCTTTGTTCCAGTAGCCAGACCAGACGAGAGTTTACCAATCACTGAACGAGTTTGCAGGTACAGATAATAAGCGAGATTGGAAATAGTTCTATCAGTTCTTTCCTGAAGGACTGGTATAGCAAAAGATTCGCGCCAATTCTCGAGAATCATATGCAAAACCCAATTCTGAAGAGGTGAAGGAGAAAATATTGACCGTTACCGGTAAATGTCTAACATTTGGTTATGTATCTGCTCAGGTCCTGGTGAAGAACTTTTGCGCGGAAAAGAGCAAAAGAAAATTCGTCTTTGGAAGAAAGACCGTTGTAATCTTCCTCCATACCACTCGAAAATCCAGTGTATAAACTCTCCAATTTTCCCTATTGGAAAACTCGAGATGTAGCATAAAGAACTGCAGATGTTCTCATAGTAAGAAGTGAGTTCCTCGACTACCTACATCTCGGCAGATGAGATTTCCATTTATCACAAACTCTGAGACTGTCGGTGGAATAAATCTTTCTCTGATTTATCACACCTTTCACCATACTACTATCGGGGTATGACATACAAATTAATTGCAGGCTCTCCAGGAAGCCGCCTTACTTTTTCGTATGTCAATCAAGCTCTGCCTCGGAGTCTTATAACTGATAAAATTTCGGTGATACCTATTCGGCAGGAGATATGTATTTTAGCCCATAATACACTGCAAGAAGACAGCTTCTATCAAGGCGGGAAAATAATAGGCTTGAATTATTGGTCACGGAAATTGTGTTAACAACACAGTTTTTGGATTTGTACATTATTTTCACCCTAACTTGAAATTCACAATGAAAATTGAATATAAACACTCTTTGAATATTCCTAATTTAATTATTTATATTAATGACTTTTTTAATTCTCAAAAAATATACTCATACAAAAATGATCATCTCTTCCCATTCCAATCACAAAGGCTAAAGAATGAACGTTTTGGAAAATCTAGAAATTTTAAAACTATTCAAAACTTCTAATTGTACTATCAATCAATATTCTATGATAAAAAGCGAACCATATTAAATCTTTTTGTCTAGTTCTACGCATCCGATCCCCCCTCATTGGGGGGAGGGGACTTTCACTCTTACCATTCCATAAGATTGCAACCTCCTAGCTGTTTCCAGCACATTACCTGGCTGATGTTTTTAGTGTGATCCACGATGCTCCGGTATAAATATTCTTAAGTGATATTTCTCTCATTAATTATTCAAACAAACATTTCCTTTTGTACTTTCTTGCATTATTGGACTTTCATATATTTGTTTTTGTGTTGTTAGAGACCCACTTAAGTTGTGAAAACTGTTCTCGACAGTTGACTTGGCTATTAAATGTTTTAATAAACATAAAAGCTTTGAATTGCTCTGGTGTGATTATTTCCTAATTCATATCGTGGAGTAACACAAGATCTCTGCTACCACCACTGAATTAAAATTTTGTTGTTGGATTTCTTGTTTTTCTTCTTCTTTACCTCAGAAAAGCGGCCAGTGTTAACGGGCTATCCCGATCCCTTAGATAACCGAAATATGGAAGCAAGTCCCTTCAGATCAGAATTCATACACCTGTGGATTTGTGTGTTTGTTGTTACATAAGCTGTTGCTCTTCTATCGTGCTTCGTTGAAAATGAAACGACGACTACAGTCAGGTGTTCGTGGAGACCAGTGTAGCGTCGAAATCGTCAGCAACGCCAAGCATGGACAGACTGTCCACCAGCCAACTCATAAGAAAATAATTTATTTCTTAACAACGAACTTTTATTATTTTGGTTCTAGTATATCCAGTATACTTATGGATATTTTCAGATAACTTCCCACAGCTTATCTACTATAGCTACCGTGGATCTGAGAAGCAGGTCCACACACTTCGATCTCTCAAAGTATTCTGCTTATTTATTTTATATTCCCCCAACAATTTCTCCTGTTGTTAGGCTAATAAACTACTACGTCACACCTGACTTACAGCACATAACGTATAGAGGTTTCCCCGTTTTCGCTTGGCAACTCGAGCCCTGATTTCGACTGTATCGGGATGCTGGCAAACCTCTTGGACAGAACCACAGTTTCTCACCTCTTAGCGGCGTCAGGAAAGGAATCAGAACTTCAGACTTCAGAAGAACCGATTTTCTGTATATCTCGTTCCTTTTGAAATGTGAGGTATTGGCTGAAGTTGGGAGATCTACATATTAGATTGCAAATTGCAAGTTTGACGTTTGGTTTCGTAAAAATCATTTCCGAAATTCATACTGACTACACGGTCCTTCGAAATTTAAACTAGTACCGTAGTCGATTCAAAATATACTACCGCACGCGCATATTCTAAAACCTACAAGAGATCTCAGAAAACGTGGGAGAGTTGAACGTGAGGATCAGAGTTCAGGTGGAGTGTTAACTTTCGGTGAAGCCTGCACATATCGGTAACCTCTACGACAGGACAGTTTACAGGTCTATCTTAACCACACCCCGCACATAAGGAAAGGTAGGGAGGGGCGTCACCTGAAGGCCAGCAATTTTGACTTTCATTCATAAGCTTCACGATTTGTTCGTCAAATCGACACAAAAAAAGAATAGTTCCAGTGTGTTCGGTGTGGAAGAACTCCATGGAATTTCCTTAGTTTTGCTACCTGCATTGCCAGGCTTACCCCACTTGCAGCCTTCAATAGGGAGTTTTACTACGCTACTAAGTCGGACGGACCTGCATGTAATTGCGTCTTACGTCTTACCTTATGCCTTCATAAATAGTGCACGCTTGGGGTAGTCTCTACACTCACCTCACAAACGGCATAATGGCCGTCTGAAAACAGGAGATGTTTCCAACTCCGATACACCGATTCTCGTGTGTGAGGCAATTACAATTATTCCTTACCAACTCCACAACGTTGGTAAGAAAAAACAGAAAATGTTGGAAAGGTGACACGTAAGAAATTTGCGACAAAGGAGTTCAAATCATATTTTCGGGTTATGTTATAACTTATGTTCTTAACGAACGCAGTTTTTAGATATTCCCTACACTCTCAAAAAAAGCAGATTCAAAATTCCAGACAGCATACTCATCGAGGAGGGCACAAAATCTAAAACTCCGTGCACAATGTAGAGTTGTTATACTTTTAAGTCGTATCGTGGTTTAAATGTCTCACCACTAGCCTCTCGACGTCTGTAGTACTGTAGATCCCCGCTGTACGGCGAGATCCGGCGCCGATCTTGCATCGGCTATTGGGGTCTCAGCTCTAAGCTCCCGACCGATCTCCCTGCATGTGTGGTAGTGTGCGTAAGGGGGCGAGGATAGGGCAAGGAAGGGGAAGAAAAGATGGCGCGCGGCCCGTTTGTTAGGGTTCTGCCCCGGCATTCGCCTAGTAGTGATCGGAGTAACCAAGGAAGACTACCGATCAAAACAGCCGGCCGCTAGAATTCTCCTCCAGACAGCGACCGAATTCGACATAGCTGACAAGCAAGTGTCGAAAATCCTGCATTCAGAACGTTACGACCGTACAAAGAAATAGTGATCAATAGTTTAAGGGTGCCTCCTTCAGCCTGACGCTAAAACTCCCTATTGTCTTTCTCTCTTCGAAGCATATCATTATTTTAAAAAAATGTCTTCTTAGCCCGTTTCTTAAACAAAAACCCAAATCGACACTCAACATTCAGTGAGAAACATTCCTTGAGAAAGTAATAAGTGGATCCGGAATGTAACGAGTCCACAGGCGGGCTTAAAAGATTACCAAATGATAAAAATCCTGCAGGCAAATACAATCAGGCGCCAAACAGCTGACGGCCCCCTCAACCAGCTGACCACAAAGAGATCCTAACAGGAATCATCAGCAAAAGATACAAACATGGTCAGAGGCACAGGATGGTACTCCGACAGATTAGGCACCGCGACGGATAATTCGGAGATTTCGGTAGGCCAATCTCTTTTGTGATCCGGAGGAAAATTTATGATCTTTAAGATAAAAACGAGGTAGATGGAAACACCCTGACAGACGGCGACTTCAGCGCCGGAGTGGGGTACCCCGATTTTAAACACCAGGGAAAAGTAGTTATTGTGAAATCTGCATCTATTATTTGAAATCTGAATCTCTTACATCATTTCCGCCGTGTGTAGCTTTTGTCTTGTCTCCAGCCACAATAATTCTCTCCCCTCGTATTTCGCGTCTTTGCGGCCGTCCCACGTGATCGCGAGCCGAGTTCGGATTCTCTATTTTAACTTTGTTCGGGAATATTCTACGGAACTCACTGGATCGCCAGACAGCTGTATCCCTCTCTCCTCCCGACCACAATACAAAAGCATCTAATTGTTTTTTTCATTATGCGTTTCCTGTGCATTTTTATTCTTCCAATGGCGGAATTTCCCAGAACCCTGATGTTCCATCTGAACCCTGATGAGCCCTCTGGCAACCCTGATGTCTACAGTTCAGGTCACACTTTGTTGCGAGGGTGGCATTTTCCTATTTGAAAAGTGGGTGGGGGCGGCTGAGGGAGCGTATGAGCACATTTACATGGGTTTACAAAGGAATTCTTCTGGCTCGAGGGGGTCACGGGACCGGTTTCAGGTGCCTAAGGGTTTTTCTTAAGTGACATGATGCGTAACTATCTTGGGTTAGGAGCAGCTGGTGACAGCATACAACAAAATGCACACACATACAAACTATTTCATATATTAAATACATTAAACATCATAAAAAATTGAATACACCCATAACAAAATGTAATAAAGATGAGAAAATACTGCAACTTTTAATTTTCAACGTGACCCATCTATAGTAACCACGTGTCAATCAGCATCACAGGCACAGACGTCATCCATCTTTGCATTTCCAGCTTTTATGACTGCTTCAATTTCTTCAATGCTGCAATAAAAGAGGATTCATATTACAATTATTATGTTAAACTTATAGTCATAAGGAGGTCATGTAAAAAGGGTATGTACTGGATATTTATTTTAAATTCTTGGAAGGGCCATTGATTTTTTGAGGCAGACATTCACAGTATTACAAACTTTATTAAACAATTTTTGTAATGACTTTGTACATTTTTAAAAACCAACGTTTCAAAGGTCCTTGGACTTTATCTTCAGGGTCTAATGAAAATAAATGAATACATATATTAAGAAACATATATAAAAAACACAGTCTTGATGAATTTCATTCAAGTAATTTAACATTTTACCTTTGTAAAGAAGACAGGTTAATTATATTTTAAGAAAATATGATTTCAATCTCTTTCATACCTGCAACGTTTAGAGGATAGAATGGATATAGCTATGAGTTCAAGCCTCTGTTTCAAGCAATTTAAGAAATCATGTTAAAGATTTGAAATATTTTACTGAATATAGCTGATTTTGGCAAATTAGTAAAGAATTATGCTAAATTAATATTACTTTAATTTATATACTCTTCTTTTAGGACTATGACCGTCAGCCATGTATTCTATATGCCCTTTTTACACAGAAATGTGGTCTTGTTTTTTATTATAGTCGCAATACTTATTTAATTTGTTTAATAATTTAAACTCTCATTTAAATCCGGCACAGATCCACGGGGAGGGAAATGTGGGAAATCCCCTCCCCCTAAATTTTTCAGTATCTGTTAATTTTAACTTGTCACAAAACTTTCAAGAAAAATATTTTCAGATTACCATTAAAACAAATAAAATTGTATCACAATATGAGCTGAGTGAAGTCTGCGACATTTTATAAAATCTTTAATATAACATATTCTATGACAACATTTTGAATTTACCCACCCAAAATTCGCCTCTGGATCAACCCCTGTTTAAATTTAAATTAATTTTGCAATCCTATCAATTGTTAGAATTCTTTGGAAACAAAAAAACACAAACAACATGGCAAGGGTATGTCTCAACTGAAGAAACCATCATTCACATGCAATACTTGCATTTATTTTGATTTAAACACTGTCAACACAGTCAATCTTTTACTTGTAATTGAAGTATTGTGCTCAGCCCTTTAACTAAAAATTGGAGCCATATTTGAGAGAATTTTCAAGCTTCATGTAAAGTACTCCCAAAAATTAATGATTTTCAAAATCGAAGAGCTTAAACCCATGTCAATTGGACAGGGGTTTCTTCAATTTGGAAAAGATCCGAGGCATGATTTAACCGCTAGTGTTGTTCACGTACACCAGACGGACACACGTTTTGAACAAAACAGCTCTTTTCTGGTATCAGGGGTACCCAAAACGTGTATTTTCGTTGAAATCTCGAAATTGATTTTCCGCAGCATTACATAACTGTCCCTATACCACGTATATTAGTCTGTAAATACATATGTATAATAACTACATACGTATGTATAATGAATGCATTTAAACCATCACTAGTTCATTTCGCAACATTGTATTTCACACCTTTATCATTAAATGCTTATGAAATTAAAGACGAAATTAAAAAATGGCATTTATTCAGTTACTTCTTTAACAATAATATCAATCGCATAATAGCAAAATATTTAAGCTTTAATCAAAGAAACAGTAAAACATGTATGAAGTTGGTTCAGTGAAAAAAGTGATATTTTACAAGGGGTCGTCACTTAATAGAGTGAATTTTTAATTTTTAACCAAAATACAGTTCGTTATTGCTAGTCATCGGATATTTAGGAAAGAGCCATTATATCATGTGTTTATTAAAAGGTTTTTTAGTATACAAACACGAATTATGGAATATTGAACATTTTGACAAAGTTTTATTTTGTCTTTTTTTGTCTCTGTCATAAATGACTTTTTCGAATTTGTGAAACTACTAGCTGAAGCACTTGGTGTTGCCTAAGTATTTATCATACGTTATACCACGAGTGCTTTAGACATTGTCAATAAATCCGTGACTTGCGAAGCAAGGAGGGGATTTATCTGAAAATTTCCAAGGCACAAGTGGTATTATTTTAATAGGACTATTCCATGAATGATGTTATATCCAACAGAGTTCCAAAATGTTCCAAATATTGAAAATAACTGAAAGCATGATAAAATCAAAGACATTATGTGACAGTATAATGCGGTTTCATGCACATAAACACAGCAATTGATTCATACTGCCTCCTAAAATAGATGATTTGCAGCTTATTATTGGCCAGTATGGAGGGGCAGTAAAAAAAATTGAATGGAAAAAGCATTTAACTTTTTGAGGTGCACTGCCCTAACTGGGGCATTTTATAAGTACAGTTAAACACTATTGCTTTTAATTTCATGAGTGGAATAGTCACAATAATTTATTAGTTAGACATTGATAATTATGTACTAAAAATTGGGAAAATATGTACATATATATGTATTATACAGATATATGTACTAGAAAGTAAGAAATACATAACATTAATTATCATAGTATGTATTGTTCTTTAATATAAAGACCAAAATTAAACTTTGTACTTCTCATAGCATGATTTAAAACTATCTCTATAACAATAAGAAACACATGTTTGTTTAAAATTTTCGGCATGAAATTTTATAAGAGGTACATGAACTAAAAGAGCGTTCCACATCACACATAGTCACTAGTGCATACTTGAACTTGCACTGATCCTCTGACAGGTAGTCAATATCCACAGTGACAGAATTGTCCCATTTCAGCTCTGCACTAATTGTTATGAAATCTGTTTTGTTTCTCTAGAACTGAAACACTTTTTCTTCAGTACATCCCCTACTGATGCACGAATGAGAAATGTTTTCAGAGAAGAGCTACTGAGGGGTTATTTCAGGCATTGTCTCAGGAAAGTTTCGGGGAAGACATCTCGAAAGATTTAATTGTAGTGCTTACTGAAAAAAAGGGCAATATAATTTTTCAGCTTTCCAGTATCAAGCAATTGCTTTGATAAGCCTATGCAGCCTAAGCTGCAGCTTCAGAATCAAATTGTTGTATAACTTGTGTTATAAAATCAAAATTTGGAGCATTATAGCTCATAGCATCTATTCAGGTGCCCCTTTTCGCGAATCCTTTTTTGTATTGGAAATCAATGTATCAGCTTTATCATACTGAGATCTAAACAGTTGTACAACACAATGCACAATACAGGATAGAAGAAGTAATTTTGAAAACAATGCATACAGGGCCTCTGCTATCTTGCACAAGTACGGTGCTCCATTAGTACTAGAAGAAAGACATTACTGTGTCATTACTCTATCAGGCCACAAAAATCCCATTGTATTGGTAACAGTTTTGTGATAGTTTGATGGTTGCATTCGGGTGACACTTCACAAGTTAGCAAAATAGACTTTACGCTTTTAACCGTTCATTAAACGTAATACAACGTTCCCAATACCATCAGTTATTTTGTCAGTAGATACCCAGATAGGACCATTGCCAATTTCCAATAAATGGAATCCACTGTTTCCAAACACAAATCAATTCAAAAGTGAGATGTCTGAGGATCAGAACTTTGGCGAGGATGAGAATCAGACAATAAGAACTGTTCTAGGGTTTGCAGCTACATCTTCATCATCATCTTCATACTCAAAATTCGTGTTTGATGACATGACATAGGATACATGTAGCAAGATTTGAAATCACTGAGCACATACATGGCAAAATACTTCTCCATATAGAGAAGATCATGGTACTTTTTTTGAAGAAAAGTGATGAGTAAAATGTAGAATAAGGTGTACTAAAAATATAAACTGAATCCACAATATCACTGTTCAATGATTCTCACAGATTTGGGATAAAAACAATGCTGGTTCAAATTTAACCAATTATTGATTCTTAGATCATATAAATTCCATTTAGATGTTATTACTTAAAGCATTATTGCTAGACTGCTTTGAAAAGTCATACTTGCCTGTGCCAAATTCTCACTCAGTGTTTACATATGGTTTAATCTAAAAGCTTCAGTACCACATTAAGATTTTACTTGAGCAATACAAAAGTGTCATTTTCAAGAGGATGCTACAGAAAAGAAAATGTTTGACAATGCTTAATTGTTTACAGGTGATTTGTTATCAAAAACATCAGGAACAAATAACTATTTTTTTTTTAAATTGCATGATAATAAAAAAGTACAGTAATATGTAAAAGTATGATCTTTTCAGTTAAAACTTTTGTGTAAAATGTGTAAAAATATGTACTATCTATCTCTCTAACTAACTATCTATTTTGTCACTATCTGTAATGAAACGTGAATATATCATTGATTCAACTAGACAGTTTTTTAGGAAAATATGGTATGTTATTACAAATTTATCAGAGACCTATTACACAGGAAGAAAAGTTCCATTTATTCCCACTCTGTGACAGAGCCTACTATCTATCCTTTTCTATCCCCGCTCTGCTCTGCCCCGCCCTCTCTGACTTGTCCCCATCTGGATGTACCTGGTCTTCCTTACTTACTTTCACACTAATCGCACTCAAATATTTTTTTATTAGGGTTCCCACCCCCCAAACTTCAGTCACTTTAAAAACTAAAAATAATAAACAAATCTAAACAAAAAAAATACAAGAAATGAATTGATGTATATTATTTTCATGGATTTGCACAATTATACCAATACATTCAAGCAATTGCCACATTGTAAACTAACCTTTTTCATATTTTTTCTCATATATTTATAGAGGAAAGTTTGAAATGGATCTTATAGACCACACCAAGGCTATTGATGTTTAAATTAAAGTGCTTTTAATTCAATTGCTGTATATATAGTAGTAATAGTAGCTCAGAACAAGGAGCTACTAATCACTTACAAAAGTATAATGTCCCCAAAAATCAAAGATAACAGTGGATTCTGGCTTGCTAAATGTTTTTCTATTATCTAAAATAACATTTAATTAAACATTTAAAATAATAAATGAAAAACAGCATTGACACGAGTTGAATTCCTTCAAATAGCCTTTTCCATTTCTCATTTATTTCAATTATACTTCTTGCCAAACTTACTCTCATTAGTTTAAATAATCATTCCTTCACCATTTAAAGATACGCTTTCACTGTGCAATATAATAAAGCACTTCCCTACAAAAATTCATACATCGCAGTTTCAACACAACACATAAACAACTCATGTTTTGCTTTCCCTCATGCAACTCGCAAATTCATAATAACCATATTTACTGCAACTAAACCAAAAAGTATTTCGTGTTAACACATGTATTCATACCTTTTTAGACTAGCATGCACCTCCATCAGCAAAGTGATTCTTTCTAATAAATTCATATCTAATGTACACTTCATACATTCACGCCAAGATATGATTAACATCAATTCCAAAGTTATTTTTATAAATAGATTGATAGGGCCACATCGACCTGAGAGAGTTAATTTAGGAAAAAATCCAAAGAATAGTTTAGGCACTAGTACAGATGAATGGATGGTTGAAACTAATAATGCTGCAGAATGGCACAGACTTTCTCATGTAAGTTTTCTTTTTTGGTCTGGGCAAGCTGTTTGGACTTGGCTCACACATGTGCAAGCTGTCATCTATCGCTGCACAAAGTACATTTTTTAAAAAATATTTTTCAATTCTTCAATTTTCTAATAGCAGAACTGAAATATTTCTTTCAGAATATTACAGAGGAGTAAAACTTCCTCCTAAATGGCAATTTTTATTGTAAAATTTTGAGACTTTTTAAGAAAATGGTGTTTAAGCGTTATTGTAAATACAAAATTTGAAGCTCTTTCTCAAAGAACATTTTTGAGTCATTGAAAAACTTGATTTGAAGTCATTTGAAGCACTTTTAATAACAAGTGCTATAGTTTTTACGAGAAATGTGCATATTAACAACTTAAAAGTGTTATTTTAAAAAAAATTATATTTGGGTAATTGTTTAAAAAGCAAAAGAATATCCCAAAATGAACTTTATTGTATTATTAAACAGTTTAATTAGCACTATCCTTTGAAATGTTTGAAGAAAAACTTTGGAGCAATTTTTGAGCAATTTTTGTGAAAATGGCATTTGAGTGTTTCTAAAAATGTGGAATTTTGAGCTCATTTTCACAGAAAACTGTTGCATTTTTGAGAAACTATATGACATCATTTAAAGCACATGTACTCGTATATGGCAATAATGTGAAGAAATTGCCGCTAATGTAAATATAAACAACGTGAGAGGCTAGTGAATAAAATTAAATTTTTACAATTTTTTAAAAAACAAAATTGTGCAGTAAGGTGTTTATGTCACCTCATAGCATACATACAGTGCTGTCCTTACTAAAAGTTAAAAGAATAAATTTGGAGCAATTTTTGAGAAAATCTGTTTTTTGTAATATTTTAAAATTAAACACTTCAATGCACTGTAGCACAAAATCAATTTAATTTTTTTTTAAATGTGCCTAACCTTATTGAAAGAACTAAGTATGGAGAACAAATTTCATTTAAAGGAAAAATCTCTTTTTCAATTTCGTAGTTGTAGGAAGACATTGTAGGAAGAAGTTGTAGAAAAAAATTCAAACTTTTGAAATTTTCGAATATTTAGAGTTAAATCTGAAAATTGAATGCCACCTTTATAGGTGTATTTTTTATCTTACAAGAAATTTAAGGACAAATTTTGGAGTGGATTTTGAAAAAATTTTGAAAATGTCCCAAAAACTTGATATCATCCTCCCCCCCAAAAATAATGTTTTTTAAAATCGCAGAACTTTGACACAGGCCAAATCGACATGGGTTTATTCAGTTTGGACAAAATCGTACACATAGTTCACATACACCCAAACAGACAGATGGATGTTTCACAGTCAATTGATTTTTCAGTACTAATGGACCCACAAAACAGGGATTCTGAATACACATGTAAGAGTATTTTGTTTACTTAATTTAACAACTGAAGTTATCCACTGTTTTTTAACAGGGCCCAGCAATTACTTTGTTTCTGCTGAAAATCCAGAGTTTTTTCACGCAGCACATCTCTCTACTCCGTATATATGTATGTATACGAGAAAGTAAAAAACACTTTCAGTTTCAAAATCTTGAGACTCCAAAACATGTAACTCCATTGAAATCACAAAATCAATTTTCCACAACATTAAATAACTTTCTCTTAAACTATTTTCATTACTCCTTATATCCATGTACAAATAGAAATAATAAAACAACACATTTTCAATGTTGTCTATTCTAACTAACAAAAATAACCAATTCCAGAGGTCTCGAGTCAGACTTATTTGATTTGGTGGATTTCTTTGTTGTCATCATGGGTATTAATAGATAGTATAGGTATTACTTGAAATTGTTTTGTTTAGATGCAGAATACAGAGTAGCTTACTACCAGAATTGTGATAAAATATTATTCAATCAAGTTAAAACCATGAGTGATATTCCCGAGGTAAATTTCATCCAGAAATTCCCACCACCAATACTGTATTTCAATATAATTAGGCATGTATTTAGCATGTATGGAATGAATAATAAATATTATTCATTCCATACATGCTTCGATAGTAACAGTTAGTAGAATACTCAACCCACCTGAATATGGTTCATTACATATAAAATGAGCAGAATAATGAATGAAAAACAACTTACTTGCGAGGCACTTTTGTAAGAACTTCTGCTCCTGTTTCTGTGACTACCACATCATCTTCTATTCGCACACCTCCGAAGTTTTTGAAACGCATAAGGACATCATTCACAAAAAACTGGTTATGTTTTTGATTCTGTTTGGCTGCTTCCAACAACTGTAAACAAATGAAACACATACAATTATATCAAAGTGACATTGCAATGAAATAGAAAATATAATGTAATGTTCTATTTAATGCTTATTGTCCAATGTCTCATTAATCCAAGCAACAACTCACCGCATCTATGAAATAACATCCTGGTTCTACAGTAATAACCATTCCAGCCTCAAGAAACCGTGATGTGCGCAACTTGTTCAAACCGGCTTGAAGAGGACGCTGTGGCTGGCCAGGCAAATAACCTCCTACATCATGTACATCCAGGCCCATAAAATGGCCTATCCCATGGGGTTGAAACACTGCACCAAGGTTTGCCTGTTTGTATTAGAAATTTGAATGTATTTCACTACTTGCAAAACTGTTCATCATGATCATTAATAACAATTGTATTACCATAAGCATGTCGTCCACATTCCCCCGAAGAAGACCAAATGTAGTCAATTCTTGCAGAAGAAGACGATTTGAAAGAATGTGCATGTCCACCCATGATACTCCTGAAGAAAAAAAAGGATGACACTTATCCCAATAATATTTGTAACTAAATCTCTCTTTGAAGAAACCCTACAAGAAAATATTAATTTTATTCTTAAATTACGATCTTAATTCTCATATCTTTATAATTAGGAGGCAAATTTTAATGAAATGTCATTTTTTTTCTTTTCACTTTAAAACTGAAGCTGGGACTGACGCTGTTTAATATAGAAATTCATTTTATGTTATGACCCATTTTATACATTATTTTCTTTCGTTTTTTGTCGATTTCAACTAATAAGTCAGAAGCTTCCCTTCTTACATCATTTTTAATGCATTTTTTGTGGGTTTCAACAATTTTAACAGTACTTGCTTGACACAATATTTATGAGGTGCAACCAATATTCGCCAAATTCCTAACTAACCTATTCGATTTTTTCGCTTTTCTATTGTAACGTCAGACATTTGAATACTTGGTAATCTAAGGTTCCTATGACGCCTACTGGTGCTATTGTCAGTTTGGCCTATTTTGTGATAAATAAACGCAGAGATTTTCTTTAAAAATACAGTCCAAACCAAAAGTTTGCAAGCTGAGTTCACTTGCACAAAAGAACAAAGCCTTTATTACATAAGTAACATACCTAACAGCTTGAGTAGTTCTTCTTAAGTGATTTTAATCAAATTTTTTTAAAATCATTTCTCTGATTTTGAATTTATAGTCATTTTTAAAGCATTTTAATTGCATTTAATTTAACATTTTTGGTAATGTTTTAAGTCATCTAAATCCACCCCCTAATCATAATCATTATCATTGATATTGATGATGAGACCTGATGGCCTGTTTAGGCTTCTCTGAAACCACCTCCCTATTGAAGACCTCTTCTGAGTGCTTTCCTGATAGTTTCTAATGCTTATCAAACCAATCTAATAAGCAATTCTTTCAATGTGTATGAGCGATTGGCTCTTTTTCTGATCTATAATTTCTACATAATTGCAAATAACTCATTCTTTCATGATTTCTGGGCTCTTCTTTTGCTCTAAGGTGGGAGCACCAGTCAGCAGTTGAAATAATAATTATAAATAAGTTGAAATTATAAAACAATAATTCAATACATAATATTGCTTGGGAAGATGTTTATGAGACTTTGCAGAGTGGTATGCAGAGAGAACGTGTCTCCTCCAAGAAAACGACCACCTATCAACAAAAAACAAATTTGATCGGGGTTGTGTTAACACTAAAGTCTGATTGAAAGACGTTGATGATTGGCAGTTGCCAGTGGAAAGGATCTTACAGATTGCATACAATATTTCCTGGGACTTCAAAATAAACCTTTGAAATAATTATAAAAGTAAATAACATCATATACTCTTACTGTATGAAGCAACAACTTCAGAAGTACAACTGTCAATCACCAACTTATTTAAATGGCACCATAGGAATCACATTTTCATGTTTTTCCCCAGTAATACGAAAGTTTGCTCACTTGGAATGCACAATGAACAGATATTTTTCAATTATTTCAACAGGATTTTATGAAACATTATCTTTGCCTGTCTCTTTCTCAAAGTTTGTAATGTGTGTTTGCATTCATGGTTCGTTGTAGCTAATATTAATTTCCTACATCTGAATTATGATTGATATTTAACAATAAAATCATGTTTTTTGAGTATTATATACCAACGAGTCCAATTTGAAAAAAGGTATGCTGATGAACTAATACTCATAATGTGAACTCCCACATCAGAGAGAGGGGCTTCGCCTACAAACAGATGGTGTTAAGAATCAATTGTCCAAACGCCATAACTTGATTTTGAGATATTAACACAAATCAATTTCTTGTAATACTAATGAACATAAATGTTACAGCTTCAAATAGCAATACATTTCATGGAATGTTAAAAAATTGTAACTTTAATGTGATACTTTAATGTAACTACGATTCTAAAAATAAATTTTGTTTACATTTATTCCCAAATATTATGTTTTGTGGCAACAATATATTTATCCAAAGATTTATGATCCCAGGTAAAATCTAAAGAAAAAGTCCATTAAAATATTTATCGCATTATTCAAGCATTTTAACGGTCATTGCTATGGACAAGCTCTTAATGTGTTGCTTAAAATCATTAGTTACTAAGGAGCTAAGCACTTGTTTATCAAAGTAAATAAAAAAATAAAAATAAGTCATTTTTTCTCCCCTGAAGCATTACTACACTTTCTCTATACTGCTTAAGTGGTAGGCAAAAAAGTCAAACATACTATTTTAAATGACACCCAGAAATCAAAACAAAACATAAAACGCTACATTTTTAAAATGGAATAAAAATCCTTCGTATTCAAATGTAACTGTAATACAGTGCTATTTTCTGTCATTACTACCTGACAAAATCTTAGCAAAAGTTTTATCTTACTTCAAGTTTTTAAATAAAATGGTTAAACATAACTGATCAAAAACACTACTTCTTGTGACAAAAACTAAACTTTTGACTAAACTTAAATTACATAACACAACAAATTATTAAACAATTTTTATTTTTTAGCCCCTTGGGTGGCTCATGGACAGTGTGGTAGCTTTCCAAGGTGTGATTCAAGGTTTAATTTCCGGTCAGGGCAAAAATAGAGTAGTAACTTTCCATTTCAATCGTCTCAGTTTCCATAGCCGAGTGAGGAAAGAAAACCTTAGGCAGACTAAGAATGCTAGACACAGGGTATATGTCTCACTCGCCTTATACCATACCCAATAAATAATAACAAGGCCCAGGACTGTGACCACCACTAGTAGGCAAAAGTTGGATTATTTTGACACTACAATGCCAAATACATACGTCTTTATTTTATAACATTTACACAAGATTTGCTTAAATTCTCAATATCTGTTTTTACTCATTATTATAATAATTAAAATAATTTCTTTGATTAATTATGTTTTGTAATTTTTTTGAGTAATCAAGAATCTTGATACCACTCCTGAAAATGAAATACAGGTGTGATCTCTTTTATATTTTGTGCAGAAGCACACACGAGAAAATATTTTTTGCCATTGTATCCATGCCACAAATTTAAGCATTTATCACTAACTACATATGGGACAATAAATTCGAAGGTTAGATTTCTCCTCACATTTTTTATCTTTAGTGTTGCTCAGCACATATTGGCTTTCATACTGAATGTGATAATGTGATGGCAGTGGCGACCCAAGAACAAATGTTCGGGAAGGAAAAATATGTTACTAAACAGTGGCAGATCCCGAGAGAGGGCATGAGAACCATGCCCTATCTCAATACAATTTTTTTGTAATTTTATTCAATTTATTGAAAACCATTGTCTCACTAATATCATTACATTCCAAAGCTTTATTTCTATGAAGCACACACAGATGCAATTTCAAGACATTCAGATTCTAAAAATGTGTTCCAAGTTTGTGTTACACCTTCATTTAATAACTTGGTGTTAAAAAAGATTTGAATGAAGGTCTTTCATTCCAATATTTACTTTAAAAATGTTTTATTATGCTCTAATTACTGAAACCCTATGACAAGGCGATATATGTTACAATAAAAGTTTTTTTCAATAATTCTACTTAAATTTGGTTGTTGACAACAGCCTGAACTTCTCGCATTCAATGTTTAACACATTAATATCTTTATATCAGATTTGTACGAAAAAACAAATTAAAAAATAATTTTCAACTTTTTCCGAGGGAACAACCAAGACAACCATATCATTGAAGATCTAGAGGTAAGAGACAATGCTACAACATTAACAGGTTGATTGATCATAAAAACACAATCTACATACAAATTCTTCTGTAAATAAAAAAAATGAACAATTTATAAAGAAGATAAAAATAGCAGTTTGTTTTGAGAAAAATGTGAAATGAGATCCTTAGAAAATGCTTGAAATGTTGACACTGAGGATAATGTTATTCTCTCGAAACAAAAAAAACTTGTTCACTTGTGATTATCCACCCACTATAGCTGGTAAATTGCAATTAGCTTGAGATAGGTATTAATATTAGCTTAAAGAAATTAGGGTTTAACATCACCATGTTCATAAAGTCTTAGGACAAGGAAAAACAAGCATTGAACTGACATATGAAGAGCAAAAGTGTTAAGGGGTAAAAGGCAATTTAAATCCACATGAGAAATCTGTGCTTTCAAAATTACTAGTAAAAACAAAAAAAAATAGTAATATTTACCACACTTTAAAAAGCAACTGTTCATTACTGAAGAAGATAACACATTAAATCAAATTGGCTCAAAACATTACGAAAGGAAACAGACTGAGAGACCTTTATTTCTTTAGACTTACCAGGTGCCATTGCAGCAATTACACCACGATTAGCTTTCAATACTGCATTGTATATTGCCTTTTGATCATCAGTAAATTTTCCATTAGCAGGAAAAGAGCAACTTATATCAGATGTATAACCACAATATGAACAGCCCATATCAAAAAGACTGCAACATACCACATAAAATCTTAATATCCAATATATTTTAAAAAATCAATATCAAATGTTAACAAAAACGTTTGGAGTTAAAGAATTCAGAATTTACTGATCGCATTAATAATGAATTAATTTTAATAATGTTCAAGAGTTATCAACAACAATTTTGAGACAAATTAATTCAAAGTGAATTTGCCATGAACAAGCAATTCAGTTCAATTTTATAACAATAATTACACAGAGTAGCTATAATATTACCAAATGCCAACAAATCTGTGATGAAGTCTGCCGCAGTTGCAGAAAAAATGTCTGAAAGTGTGGACCAAGGCCTGTTAGCCTGTAAGCAATTGACACATCACCAGTTGTGAATGTTTACACCATTTTATTTTTTACGGAATTGTTTAACATTTGGGACCAAACCATCAGCACACCCAAAAATTGTTCAACAAAAAATGGAAATTATTTATAAATTGTATCATGAATGTTCCAATTTCATTCGCCTGGTAATATGTTATACTTTTTAAATTAAAAAAGGTCAATGGAAAAGGAGTCCAGTGGAAAATGAATTGAAATAAACTGAAGAAATATAGTTAAAACCCTCTCGTTTCAGGCTTCTTCACACCTATGAGTGCATAACTCAACTAATTTAAGATTTACCTACTAACAGTAAAAACTTTAATGGTATTTTTAGTAAATTCAAGTCTATTCATGTAAAAAAA